TGCAAACAAATTGAAATTATCTCATGCATATTACTGGACCATAGTGTGATAAAATTGGAAATTATTGACGAAACAAATTGCAAAATTCCATAAACACATGGAAATTAAACAACACCCTCCTGAACAACCATAAACTGTGGGATGCTGAAATAGCAATCCTCAGAGGGAAATTTATAGTGGTGAATTCTCACATGATGAAAATAATATAAGAACAAATAAGCAAACTTATGTTGTTCTTCAGAAAGAGGAACTCAAGCCCAAAAAGGGGGGAAAATATAAAGATCAGACCAGAAATGAACACAATGGACACTAAGAATTCATGAATTGAAGAGTTGGTTCTTTAAAAGAACAAAATTGATAAACCGCTAGCAAATCTTATCAAAAAAGGAAGTAAAAAACACAAATTCATGAAACAAGGAATGAAAAGGGTGAAATCACTACAGAGCCTATAGAAATTCAGAAGATCATCAATACCTTACTCTTACAAGATGGAAAACAGATTCCTACAAACATATGAATTACCAAAGCTGAATCAAGAATATAAAAAAAAATTCTGAATAATCTCAAATCAGTCAATGAAATTGAAAATGTAATTAAGAACTTATCAAGAAAGAAGTGGCCACATCCTGATGGCCTCAGAGGTATTTCTATGAGAAATTTAGAGAAGATTTAATGACAATTCTTCTAAACTCTTCAATGAAATTGAAAAGGAAGCAATTCTCCTTAACTCATTCCTAGAGGCAAGTATTACCATGATAGCAAACACACAGAAAATAAGCAACCAAAAAACAAAACAAACAAACAAACAAAAAAACCATAAAGAACTACAGGCCAAACTTCCTAATGAACATAGATGCAAAATTCCCCCCAAAACATTAGCAAACAAAATGCAACAAATCATCAAGATCTTTATACATCACAACAAAGAGGAATTCATTCTAGGAATGCAGGGATGATTCAATATATGCAGGTCAATAATTGTAATACACCACATCAGCAGAGCCAAAGAAAAAAATCACATGATCATCTCAATAGGTTCAGAAAAAGCTACTGATAAAGTCCAACACTCATTCATGATTAAAACCCTACAGAAAATCAGAATGGATAGTCTATATTTCAATCTGATAAAAACCATCTATGACAAACCAACAGCCAATATCATCCTAAATGGACAAAAACTGAAAGGTTTCATGTTAAAATCAGGAACCAGACAAGGATTCCACTGTCACCACCCCTACTCAATATAGTTCTGGAAACATTAGTCAGTGCAATTAGACAAGAGCGACAAATAAAAGAAATAAAGATTGGAAAGGAAGAAGTGAAATTATTATTATTTGTAGATGACATGATATTCTCCATAGTAGACCCCAAAAACTCCATCAAGAGTGCAGATTTAATAACCAAATTCAATAGTGTAGCAGGATACAATGTTAACACTCAAAAATCAACATTTCTATACATAAACAAATGAACACACCAAGAGAGAACTTTCATGCTTTTCACAATAGCATGCCAAAGAAAGAGAAATACTTTGCAATCAATCTCACAAAGTAAAAGATTTATACAGTGAAAATTACAGTACTCAGAAAACAATCAGAAAGGGTTTCAGAAAATGGAAAGATATTCTCTGCTCCTGGATAGAAAGAACCAATATTGTGAAAAGGGCCATACTCCCAAAATTGTTATACAGATTCAATTCAATCCTGATTAAAATAACAGTATATCTCGGTTATCTAGTGAAAACATTCCTAAAATTCATTTGGAACAAGAAGACACCTAGAATAGCAATAGCAATCCTGGACACCAAAAGAAATAGAGGAGGCATTACAATCCCTGACTTGAAATTATATTACAAAACCACTATAATAAAATCAGTGGGAAAAAAATACCAGACCTGAAGACCAATGGAACAGATTAGAAGATGCAGACACAACCACAAACACACTCAGTTATTTATCTTTGTCAAAGGGGCTAAATATGTTCATTGCAAGAAAGATAGCCTTTAATAAATGGTGCTAGAAAAACTGGATTTTCACATGCTGACAACTAAAATTAGACCCATGTCTATTATCATGAACTTAACTAAAGTCAAAATGGATCAAAGATCTAAACATTAAAATAGAAACTCTAAATCTACTTGAGGAGAGAGTAGTGGAAATCTTGAAGACATAGGGGTAGTTAGAGTTCATGAACAAAAACCAAACTACATGAGACATACTTCAAAGAATCAACAACTGGAATCTCATCTTATTGAAATGTTTTTGCACATGAAAAGAAATCACTCATAGCATAAAAAGAAAACCCACAAATTCAGAATAAATTTTAGCTGACTGTCCCTGAGACATAGGCCTTCTATCTAGAACATATAAAGAATTTTTAAAACTCAGGCCCCCAAAATTCAAATACACAATAAAACCTGGGCACTTGAGATGAAAATGCACTTCTCAGATGAAGAAATACAAGGATTTTTTTTTTCAGCCTCAAGATGCCTTCAGGGCATTCCTGGTTTGGCGTGAGTATCTGGGTTCGAACCACAGCACCTGAGCCTGACTGCTTTATTTAAGCGGGCACTTAAACAACTGAGCTAATGGGCAGGCCCCGTCAGATGAAGAAATACAGATGGAAAATAAATATATAAAAAAAAGTTCAACATAATTGGTTGTTTGACAAATACAAATTGAAACAACACTGAGATTCCATCTCACTCCAGAAAGAAGGACTATCATCAAGAAGTCAAGCTGATGGGGGAGCAGGAACTGTTCTCCACTGTTGGTAGGTGTGGAAACTGGTACAGCCAGGATGGAAATCAGTGCTGAGGTGCATAAAAGCCCCCTAAATTTAGAGGTTCCATTCAACCCCGGGATTCCCCTCTTGAGGACTGTTCCAGAAGAACTGAAATCATCATACCACAGCAGTATGTGTGCACCCGTGTTTATAGCAGCAACAGCTAAATCTTGGAAACAACCCACATGCCTATCAACTGAGAAATAAAAAAGATGTGCTTTTTTTATACAATCGAGTATTACTCAGGTATAAAAAAATAAATTTGAGGTTTGTATAGGTAAATGAATACAACTAGAGACTATACTCATAAAAGAAATCAGACCTGTGTGTGGAAACATTTTGTCTCCCTACTGTAAAAATCTGAATGAAAAGAATGATAAACTTGAAGCCTTCATATTTAAGTGGATGCCCCTTGAAGATATACTTATT